TTACAATTTGATCATGAAATTTGTGTGTGCTTCACACATTTTTGAAATTGAATCTTAGAAATTCTATAATGCCTTTTTTACACTACGAAAAGTTTGCTTTACTTTATCCCTTTATTTTCTGTCAGCTTCTTAGAAAATCATTTTTTCAGTTCGATTTTCTTTTGGTAACTCTGTTCGGTGTTCATCGTGCCTTCGGAAAAATTCACAGTTTCTTGCTAAAATACCAACGGAATAAATCGCTAAAATGATCTCAATGTCATTATAGAAAATGATACTCGTCGTATATTCGTCAACATTTCTTCCAGGAAAAAAAAATCTTCAGAGGTGTTCGCGAAGATCTCGTGATTTTTAAATTCCGAAAAGAAGGTTTTGACAAATCAGTTATGGAAATTGTGCCTGGGTTCTCAGATATATTGAAATTTAATTTAGTGGATTACACAGTGGAATTTTCTGAATGTTCTGCTCAGTTCCCATCTTTTTTGTTGTTGCTAGTTTAGAAGATTATACTCATAATAGAGCTCAATTTATTTTGGTAAACCTGTTTGGTGTTCTTATACAGATGACTTCGTTATTCCTCTGCGCCTGTCTTGTTCCACTTCGCTGTCTGCTCTTCCTGGAAGCTTATTTCTTTTTACCTGAACGATCACCTGTGCCTGTCCTCCAAAAGTGAGAGTTCTTTCTACCATTTATTCAAGATTATTCCGTTATTAGTCTGAATATTTCAAACCAGTGCTGCCCAACTCAGAGGTGGCCAGCAAGGGCCCCATTACAACACTAGAGCATTATGTGGGCCACAATGGAAAAAGGACACAAGATATGTTTTGCATTGTGTAATTCATACATTTCTGGGATGGCTGAAATCATTCTATTTGTCTGATACACAGTTCAAGGAATTCAGGACATTTCAATGAAAGGTTTTTTTCTACACAAATCTTTTTGCGGCATTTTTGCTGATTCAGTTCAACTTGTGCCTGCATTGGTGCATGACTGAATTTGTCTTGGTGGAATCATAGAAATTAATCTGCATAAATTTTCAAAAAGGTTAAACTGCTCAAGTCCAAAAACAATAAGTTACAGACATTTCTGAAAGATTGAAATGTTGAGAAATCATTTTGATAGAAACAAAAATAAATAAAGCTTGTGCTTCAGAAAGTGATGAACTAATTCTGCAGAAAGCATGGTTTCTAACATTTTTACCCTGCATACAATTTTATGTAGAATTTAAAAATGTGTCTACGTACAAAGAAGCATGAGTTATTCAACCTCCCAATGCATGCAATTTTCATGGTCATTTTGGGATGGTCAAAATCAGGATGTGTCTGGCATCAAAGAGAATTTTTTAGTTAATTCTTGTTACTTACAGATCCAGTTGAATTTCCATTTGCATTTTCATATGATGGTTTACTTTNGAAAAGAAGGTTTTGACAAATCAGTTATGGAAATTGTGCCTGGGTTCTCAGATATATTGAAATTTAATTTAGTGGATTACACAGTGGAATTTTCTGAATGTTCTGCTCAGTTCCCATCTTTTTTGTTGTTGCTAGTTTAGAAGATTATACTCATAATAGAGCTCAATTTATTTTGGTAAACCTGTTTGGTGTTCTTATACAGATGACTTCGTTATTCCTCTGCGCCTGTCTTGTTCCACTTCGCTGTCTGCTCTTCCTGGAAGCTTATTTATTTTTACCTGAACGATCACCTGTGCCTGTCCTCCAAAAGTGAGAGTTCTTTCTACCAGTTATTCAAGATTATTCCGTTATTAGTCTGAATATTTCAAACCAGTGCTGCCCAACTCAGAGGTGGCCAGCAAGGGCCACATTACAACACTAGAGCATTATGTGGGCCACAATGGAAAAAGGACACAAGATATGTTATGTATTGTGTAATTCATACATTTCTGGGATGGCTGAAATCGTTCTATTTGTCTATTATACAGTTCAAGGAATTCAGGACCTTTCAATGAAAGGTTTTTTTCTACACAAATCTTTTTGCGGCATTTTTGCTGATTCAGTTCAACTTGTGCCTGCATTGCTGCATGACTGAATTTGTCTTGGTGGAATCATAGAAATTAATCTGCATAAATTTTCAAAAAGGTTAAACTGCTCAAGTCCAAAAACAATAAGTTACAGACATTTCTGAAAGATTGAAATGTTGAGAAATCATTTTGATAGAAACAAAAATAAATAAAGCTTGTGCTTCAGAAAGTGATGAACTAATTCTGCAGAAAGCATGGTTTCTAACATTTTTACCCTGCATACAATTTTATGTAGAATTTAAAAATGTGTCTACGTACAAAGAAGCATGAGTTATTCAACCTCCCAATGCATGCAATTTTCACGGTCATTTTGGGATGGTCAAAATCAGGATGTGTCTGGCATCAAAGATAATTTTTTAGTTAATTCTTGTTACTTACAGATCCAGTTGAATTTCCATTTGCATTTTCATATGATGGTTTACTTTCTTCATGCCATTTAAAAAAATTAGGCCACTGGATATCTTTCCCTTATTGACATGGGACAAAATTAAATAAAGCAAGACAGAAAATGCTGGGTATGATTTAAATTCTATGAATGGAAAAAACCCTGGCTTTAATCTGAAAAGCAGAACCACTGAAATCACAAATAAATGCATACTGTTCTATTGGCCTTTCTTGTTATGATTTTGTGAAGTTATAATAAAATTCCACATAAAAAATGCTGACTGAATAAGATGTCTTGATATAAACTTTCAATTTTTAGGCTTGTGGGTTTTCATTCTTGCATGGTGATTTTACGTGCTAGCTCTGCGGGCCAGATGAACAGCCTCCTCGGGCCAGATCTGGCCCGCGGGCCGTATATTTGGCACCCCTGCTTTAAACTTTTTATTCATCCAACGCCTCTTTTTTCTCCCAGAAGCATCGGAAAGGCTGAGTTTAAAGTTTCAAATGCGACATGGATTTTCACACCGCAAAACGACTGAACCAATTTGAAAACTCTGCGCAAATTTTTAGGTCTTGTAAAGTTAATGCAATCAAATTTAAAATTCGAATTTTTTGCAAAAAAAGGAACTCTTTCCTTTCCCGACATAAAATCAGGCACTATAGTATGTTCACGTTATCAAATATCAATTGGCAGAAGGTATTGTTGGGGTAAAACTCGCCAGCCTTATTATTTGAAATGAAATTATTGAAATACAGTAATGAAAAAATCTTTGCAAAAATGAGAATGACCTTACTTAATCGCCTCCCTTACCCCAAAATACCATACCCCAGCAGCAAAATAGTGGAATTTGTCTTTTTTTACTCCAATTTTTTGGCCAATCACAAGATAAAAAAATCAAACCACTTTGAACACTCCACTGGTTGAATGTCACCGAAAATTAAATCAATGTTTCTGGCTAAGAACTTCCCTTATAAGAAAATATACCGATTTGAACCATCAAACTGATTATCTATGCTGTGGTATCTTTAAATATGAAAGATGCTGTTGGGAAAAATGCGCAAAAGGTAGTTATTGAAAATATTTTTTTAAATTTCTGACCCGCCTGAGATTGCCTTTTGGGCTTGAAAACTCCAAAATACTAAATGAAAAAATATAAAATCTTTGTTGCGGACGCATAAGTTCCTCAATATGCACTGAACTGGAATTGGAAAAGAAGCTGGAAGAAAAGGAAAATCCGTAAAAATCGCAATCATCACCTGATCCTCTTATACTCAGCCTAAACTAATCGTTACCCAAGTAAGAATAGGTGAATCACTGGACAAAGTTTCAGTGAAGAACTTCCATATAGCTTATGACTTGGTGTAAAGGAACTGTGTTGTATTATCGCTTCCTTTTCTGGGGAAATGCTGGGATGAGCACCCGGGTATATGGTATCATTTGACTTCTTCCGCAGCCACGGATGCCCCTGGTTTTTTTATTTTTATTTTTTACATCGGCCTTGTCACGGAAAAGATACCGATAGAGCACCAGCAAAACTTGTTTGCCTTTTCCGGACGAAACTTTGAAACAAAAATACTGTACCAAAAAAAAAAAAAAAAAAAAAAAAAAAAAACTAGCATGCATACAGTGTTAGGCACAGATGTCGCCAATCTCGCGATCCCCTCAGCTCATCAGCTGCACCTAAAATCTCCAACCGGGAATTCCATGTTGGAATTCCCCAAAAATCGTCCATATTGAGAGACTATTATCACACACAGTCTTGCATCCTTTCTTGTAGCATTTGGAGCTGCTGATTGTTTTATCTTGAAAAGTGTTGTTCATCACTTCATTTGTCAATTTGAAATATATTCAGTCTTTACTCTTTGGAGTCCTTCATACGGATGGGCTCCCTGTCGTGTTCCCTGGCGGATCAAAAGTTTTATTTATCCTAATTTATATTTTGCCCCATTTTCATTTTTCTTTGTGGCCTGAGCGCCACATTTGGGTCCGTTTTTTGAAATTATGATTCTGACAGAAACTGATGCAATAGTATATACTATATAACAAAGATTTTCATCTGCAAGCCGATATTTTATTACAAGGACAGCCAATGAAAAGTAGCCGGAGTCTGGAGTAACTTCTTCGAAATGTACCCCTATCCAGGAAAATAATTCTACGCATATATATGTTGTCCATTAAAAAAAGGCTATACTGTAGAAAGTGTAAATTTTTTCTTGCTTTTGCGCATATGGAATACGAATACCGAATGTTTTCTGACTTATCTGAGCGTGGTCAGAGAAACTGAAATCTGAAATTGTTATTTAGCAGCTATTGATGCAACAAAAGTGAATTCAATGTCTCTCTAAATCCTGGATGAAGAAAAAAGGACTTCGGCGCTTCGGATATGTAGTGATACCCTATTCCCGAAGTAGTAAAAGCAGTTTCTGAGTTTCATAATTCAAAGTAGATGTCACTCCTTCATTTGTAGAATTTTGGAGAAGCACGGTTTCATTTGTATAAGCAATGTTGCCGAATAATCTGAATAAATACAACCCTATGGCAAAGGACTTCTTCTCGTGACAGTGAAGTAAAACGCAAAACTTGTAAAATGAATGTATTTTTCTTTGCATACAAACGTAAGCAATCCCGAATAACACAAAGGACTGTCAGATCAGCACAAGAAAAACAGGACATCGAATAACTTTTTCCCGAAATAAAATCAAAGTTTCCCGAAAATTTTCGATTCGATGTTTTGCGAAATTCTTCACTCGGAAAAATGAAAATACATGCCGAGCAGATATGGCATATCGCTCAGAAAAATTGCAATTGAATATATAAGCCAGAGGAATCTTTCCATACAAAAAAATCAAATTTTATTTTCCCGTCCACAATACGGGAGATTCTGTGCGGATTCTAGCTGTATAATTGACACTTTTCAGAAAAATTTCAACTCAAACTCACAAATTGAACTAAAACAAAAAAGCAGTCATATTTCGCAATAAAGCTCATCCATCTACCTCTTCATCCATCAAAAATTTATTTTTAAAACACCGAGAGCACGATTCCGAAACTATACAGCTCTCGAATTTTTAAAAAGCAAAGAACCCAATTAAAAATTTATGCACATCACGTTCATCATAAAAAACATATCTATACTTGCTTCCGGACCAATTTAACCCTTGAAAAACCTGGAAGGGTTTTTCTGGATAGTCATTTCTGAACGGGTAAGATATTCAGAAAATATGCCTTTTCTTGCTGGAAATTGGAACTCAATCGAGTAATGAACTACAGTATTTTAAAATATGAGTCCCTTCCCATCAATAAGCACTTTTCATCAGAATTTAACTCAATTAGAAAACCTCGAAAATGGTCCACTTGGCGCGCAAAAAGATCACTGATGTTTTTTCGCACGATACTTCCTGGCCAAGATCAAATCATAACGTGCTCAAAAATCAATACACGATTCACTGCGTATACATATAGGAATTCCAATTTTGACCTTGAGCCCATTCAACAGCAGGTCTTAAACATATTTCCAAGAACCTTGAACAAAAAACGGTGGACAAAACCGGACTTGGATCTTATTGCCGTCCAGCGGTTTAGCAACAAACCAAAAAAAAAAACCTTTTTTTTCTTCTGAAAAGGAACCACTGCTGTTAGTCGACCTTTTTGGAAGAAGTGATGGCCTTGGATTCCGTCGCATTATTCCTCGAGGCCCATTTGTCCTTGTTACCCTTGCACAAATAGGCCCTGTAGAAGAAGTTGAGGAAGAGCAGGAAATATGACGAATACATGGCAAAGGAGGCGTTCATGTTGTCGTAGCTGACACTGCAAGGCATGCCCTGACGTTTGAAGGCATACGCAGACGCATTCACGTAAATCCCGACAATCATTTGCAAAACCTGTTGATGGGATATCAGGAAAAAAAACACGAAATGTTAAGTTCGATCCTTTCGTTTTTTTTGCAATTCGGTTTGCGGTTTTTAGTAAACGAGGATAGTTTGAGTGCGACTCACGTCGACTTCAGTATGAAAACGTGAGGATTTCTCGAAAATACATTTTTTAAACTTTACATCTGGATTATTTTGTCTTTCTTTTGCACAGAGCTGCTGGAATATCTCCTCTTGTACCGTATTGCACTTCTGATGGCTCACTGGGGAAAAATACAAAAAAATGTGTTTACAATAATCTACAATTTAGTAAAAGTCAACGAGGTTCATCTGCTGCTAGGATTTTTATCAGCTTATTTCTCAGTATAACTTTTGTTTCTTGGGTCGGAATCTTCCGTCGTTTCTGTCTCAGATATACAGTATTCTGAAAAATATTTTCATGATGTTCTTGTTGGAAGATTATTCAGAAAAGCGCAAATGTTTCTTAGAATATCATGTCCAACATACCATGAAATGCTATTACGCATATTTTGAAGATTTTTCATAGCAAATTTTTTGAGCATTTAATTTTTTTTTCAAACTTTTCATCACATTTTTGGGAAAAGAAAATACATCGCATTCGCCGTTTATTCTAGGGGTGCCACAGCATAACCCTGGAATTTGGAAATATTTTTCATTTCTTTCAGAAATTTGTTGACGTCAGAGCTCAAAATCCGACGAGATTTTTCTTCCCTGTCTGATGCCCGAAGAGTCGGAAAAAAAATCTAGATGGAGACAGGAAAATCTTCAAATGAAAATTAGGATATTTTAATAATTCCTTTTAATTTACAAAATCTAGAAGAATCTACACTGCAGATGCTTAGAAAAAATGTGCCAGAACTACCTTACGATGACACAAAGAGGCGTGGAATTTTTCTAGAAACAATGCTGATAAAAATCAATGATGATTTTTCCCACGTAAAGACTCTGGAAAACAATTGAAGATTTTCCAGCACTTCTATAAAAGACGCAACAATCAAACTTTAAAACAGCAGAATAATTTTTAATCACTAATTCAAAAAGATACATCATGCTGTTTTTTTTAACAGTTTTACAAGCCTTCCAGCAAATTTAACAAAAGTATCATTTCAATTCAGCAGTAACTCAGCAGTGATGCTGCTAAATTTTTGCAGCACTGCCACAGGGCTACTCATGAAATTTCACTCCACTATTATCTCTCGCTAGAAAATGTCAAGCCTGGCTGGAGAATCCAAAAAATTCTCACCAAAAAAGCCATAGAATGCAAAAATGGAACTACATCGTTATATCTGTAAAATTTTAAAATGGTGTAACGATTCTCACCTGAAGAATTGTGATGGACATGGCGACGGATTTCGGGACTCGGAACCGCATGGCCTTCAGTGCGTAATACCCATACATGACGGTATGCACCAAGTAGTTGAATGTGATGAACCACCTTCCGGATGCCGTCAGTTCGGTAAATGAATAGAACGTGTAGAGCAAGACCGTGATGTGGTGGTACCAGTGCAGGAAAATCAACGGCTGTTTTCGCAAGACGATGAAAACCGTGTCGCCAAATTCGACCAGCTTCGACAGGCCAAATAACCAGGCCCAGAATACGCACACTTTGTTCAGCTCGGCGTAACTGCAATCAAATTTTAGAGGAAAAATGAAACCGGAATGAAAAGAAATTGAAGTTCAATATGACATGATGCCACAAAAATATATTTTCGATTTCAGTATATTTTTAAAATCTTCCAACAGGAAATGCTTCGAACAGAGCCGTTATAAAATTTGCACCCATAAAAGTAGGATTTTGCCACATATAGAGGAAACAATCTTGGACTGAATTTTGAGAAATAGGATATTTAGCTGGGAAGATAAATGCAATAAATAATTCAAGTTATGAACCATGAAAGAGCCCTTTGATTTTTTAAAGATTGAAAATCCCGCAGTTGTATTAAATATAGTTATTTCATTGTAAATTTTTAAAACAATATCGGAAGTGGGAAATGTTTTTACCTGTCAACAGTATTAATTAATTCATTTTGGTCTCGCTTTAAAATATATAATATTGCACAGTAGAGAAAACTGATGGGAGTGCAACATATTGTAGCATATTTCTTCAACTTTTAGGTCCTCTGAAAATAAATTTCAAAGCGTCTTAAAATCGATGAATTTTTGTATTCGCTTGAAAACTGTGTGTTATTGCGGCATTTTTTTTCTAGGCTTCGTCGAATATTTCACTTTCTTTTTTCAACAAAAATTTCTAATATGCCCAAACAATTTTTCAAATCCCACGAGAGAGACAGAGATATCCCAAGACCTCGCAGATTTTTCGAGGATGACCTTCAGAATCTAGGTCAACTCACGACGAGCAAGGTCAGTTGAAAAAAATATCTTGACTCATCCAGGGTGGAAAATACTACTTTGCAAACCACATTATATTCATTGCGAAATTAAGCGTGCCCGGATATCAGCAGGGCCTGGCCCCAAAACGCATTCCCTTTTCTTCCATTTACAGGTGAACGGCCTAAGGAATGAGAAATAAAGGTTGACCTTGAAGTGACCTCAAACCTGATGACAAACAAAAATCCTAGCTTGCTCAAAAAAATATGCGAGGAATGTCACTTTTTTTTTCTTCAGGAAAACTGCAGTTTCTTAATCCGGTTTTGCTGGTCAGGTCAAGACACACGCTCTTCATTCATTCAGAGACATCTCGAACAAAGAACTCGTTCCTTTTCAAGATTCGACTTATTCGTCCTTCAGAAAAAAACTTCACACCTCATCCAGGAAAGATTTTCATTCGATAGGTTTCCTTTCTTATTTTCGCACGAAGCTAAATAGAGCAACCAAAAAATGAAAATATAATTTTCTGATGCTCAATAAATAAGGTTTTAAATGACTGAGCAGTCCACACGATTTGATAACGAAGCCCATACATTTAGGTTTCAATTCACAAGTGTGTTCAGACTCCAGCAGGAATAAGTTTATCTTCAAAACTTCGAATCTATCTGAAAGGAATTTAAAAACTTACACGATTCAGGTTATTTTCTGCTGACACCATTCCAGTTGATAAACTGTATTTTAATTATTGAATTTCAGCTATTATTTGTATGCAAATGAATTGCAGAATATTGATGAAAGGGTTGAATGGATTTATATCGGGGATGTCATCATATAACTTTTTTTTCCATCTCTTTCAATCAAACGATGAGATTTTTGCGGCACATTCACATTTAAAATTTTTTGGGCAACAGATTTGGTATTTTCATTTTCATGCATCTCCCATTTTTTCATTTCTTAAATTATTTTTGAGGGGGGGGGGGGAACTGCGGAACCCCAAGAGTTTTGCGGATCAAGCCCATGGGATACATCCGCAATAGGACCTGACAATATAAGGGTATAATCTTCAAAAGTTCAGGATGCAATTCTTTCTTTTCTTTTCTTTTCTTAAAAATTTTCATTTTCTTTTCTTTTCTTTTCTTAAAATTTTTCTTTTCTTTTCTGAAAATGTTTTCTTTTCTTTTCTGAAAATAAGTACCTGGCAACACAGACGGAATGGTATTTTCCGTAGTTGCTGAGTGCAAAGACGAGTTCAGGCAGCATTCGTAACACGCCGCAGAGACTGAAGAGAGCCAAGGCCCAGTTCCATACAATCAGTGGAACCCGTAGAGAAAACGGGTTTCGAGTCGCCATGGCACTTTTGATCCCGTAAATGACCGCCAAGTAGGCGGCGGACGCCAGCCACAACTGGGCCCAGTAATGAATGGCGTTCGACTGCACATCTTTGCCAGAAATCTACAGACGAGGAAGAAGGAAGACAAGTTTTCCGGGGTCACTGACTCATTATATTCAGGTACATTTTTGTATCATGTTAAAGCAATTATTGTTTCTCGAACAATTGTTTCCTCCAATAAGTATATATACAGCGTTAAAATTACAGTCGTCGAGGTTAACTATCTAAACCCCGATTTCAAATGGAATTTTGAGACAGTACTGTATAAATGAATTTTTTTGTCTGCGGTGATTCTGACACAAATGGCAAGAAAAACAAATCTTGGATTTAAAGTATAGAAAAAAGATTTGGGTTACGTGCAAAAATAGGAGAAACCACTTGCGCATAATTGAGATTTTATTCTTCTAAAACTCCATCGTATCGTCCCACTTAATTGCATATAATCGTGTATTAGATCGTATTCATCGGGTTTTCAGTTTTTGAAACTACAGTATGCCTGACTTACTATAGAAAAAGGACATTTTATACAGTATCAGAGATTCAGAAGACCACAACTTTGAGCTGACGATGAGACCGTAATTTTAAAAACACTTCAGTAAATCACTTATGCGCAAGTTTTCTTGCGCAAAATATATAGTCAAGGCACAAATACGTATGCCTAAAGGATCATTTTATTTGGAACGTACACTTTCTGAGATTTTTGTAAGTAAGTTTCCATGATTTTACCAAGAACGATCAATATATATATTCAGTCGAAAAATATATATGCTTCAGATGTCTCTCGATTGCCAAAATTTTCAACAAATCCTATTAATAATGAGAGCTGCTTGATTTCCATATTTTGTCGCCATCTTCAAACTTGGTAAGGAAAATACTGTAGTGTGATAATATTCGACTCAACAGTATGAAGATGATCATCTCATTATACATATCATGGGAAAAAAAGTTCTCAAAATTTTAAAAGTTTGCACGATTTTTCATTTAAAAAACTCTTCGAAGTGTCCTCAACTAATTTCAACACATTCGAAAAATTATACACAGAATAAAGAAACCTAGCAACGATTACAGCATTAAACCGAGATCACTAGGAAAATGGCTTTTCTTGAAACTCCAATAATCACGTGAATTCTCGAACGTTTTTTTTTACGAATTTTGTTTTTCACTGATGAAGTTGATGCCAAAATATTCGACTGATACATTTATGCAGTGGGCGGAATTGGCGTATGATTCACGTACCATGGTTTCGAACCCAAAAACTGGGTCATGATTCCAAGTGGAGTAGTTGAAAACTGGGGCACGTTCATTAGCATCGAGACCAGCATTCATGAGCTCGGCAGCAGTGTGGTCCCTCGGATGGTGGATGTGGTGCTGTGGTGGTGGTGCACCACCCTCTGATGCCGGATGGTAGCTGTTCTGGTTGTGGTGCTGCAAATGATCTCCATTCTGCGACGCCAAATACGCCAACTCTGCAACGAATTAGCACACCGTCAGTGTATTTTTCCACGCTTATATCCAAATATTTAGCAATTATTCGACAGCCGCAGAGATTTTCGAAAATTGTTCTGGGACACATTCGCAAAAATTAAATGCCATAATTCTGAGGTCACCCAGTCAACAAATTGTAGGAAAAATACGAACCACTCTAAATGCAACGATTTTTTTTAAATCGTGCTGGGTTTGGTTACAGTAAAAATTTTACAATTTCAAAGGTTGCATATATTAGATACTACTTTTAGACGTTCATGAAGATTGACAAGTAAAAACTTTTGGACGGGCCGCAATGATTGTTAAATTTATTTTTTCCAAAAAGAATATTTTCCACTGCGGTTTTAAATCGGAAACACAGGTGGATTTTCCCTTATAACGAAATGCAAGGAACCATAAAAAGTTCGTTATACTGAGAATTTCGTCGTAGTCGAGAACTCCTATAACAAGGGAATAGGACCTTTTGGGACCAAAATAAAATTCGTTATTCAGGAAAAATCGTTGTATAGAGAGGGAGTCTATCTATCTGTGTTTGATATCATTTTCAGTATCAATAAAAATAACAATAAAGCAAACATATTATATCTTGAAAATTGTATCAACTGAAAGACTGCAATTTTTTTATTGTTTTGTTTGCCCAGATAATTCACCAATCCTTGAGCGAACAAAAATTTTCTCTATTGAAAAATATGCAATCCGTCACTTCAAAAAAGTATGAACACCAGAATTCCAACGCATATCCAGTTGCTAAAAAGGCCCAAAAATCCAAGTATTTGGCAGAAATAGGAATAAATAATGTACTTCATCCCCAGAACTTCCTTTTCTGTATATTAAAAATGTTAACTGAACAGCGGATACCAATCATGACAAATATCAACTGACTTCCAAAAACATTGGAAGTCTCCATTTGACAAATTATGTAAGGAATACTTCTCATTTTCAGTCACTATATGTACAAAAGAAAAAAATGATTGAGCATATGCCACGCAAACAGAAAGCACGAAAAGCACGCATTTTGTATTCGATCAATGACGTCATCGTCAGCAGACTTGGCCAGAAAAAACGTCAGTGATAATTAATTATTTATATGACCGCACGGGAAAGAAAAGGACCATCGTTATTCGCTAAGCGGACAACTTGTGGTCCCTATTGGAAAATTCCCCTCATCTACATTTTCATGAATTTTAGGAGGCGATGAATGCTTCTATCATTCTTTTTTCCTCCAAGAAAAAATAAACATTTTTCAACCATCATTGATCTTAATTGATCGATTCACATGACGCAGAAGAAGTTTTACGCTTTGAAGCTTCAAAGAAAAAATTGTCATCAAAAATTCAACTTTAAAAGGTCTTTTATATGAAGAGGTTTTTCCTTTCATCGCCGAGCCAAAAGGAATATTAATTTCGAAAAAAATATATCTCGGTCTGAACTTCTCAAAAAAGAAAAATTAGAATTTTCGGACTTCAACTGTATAACATGTTCAGATACTTCGAGAAAAAATTGATGAAATTCAAAAGGAAATGTGAAATTCGCACAGCAGGGCAATCTTTTCTTATTTGGAATGCGTCAATGAAATTTCCCAACTCATGATTGAAATCTAAATTTCAAATTATCTCAGGTTACAGAGAACATGAAATTCGCTGCATATTGAATTTTAAAATCGAGGGTGGAATATTTTTTTAGATCAAGTACCAAATTCACATTCGCCCAACACGCATTTCCTCTCTGATTTAAAAAAATTTTCTTTATAATTTACAAAGTATGAAGAACTCATCCGCGTTTTAATTTGAAAGTTAAATTTAAAAAATTCCGGACATCCATCCTCGCTTTAATTTCAGTTCAAGTCCCTTATCAGCGTCGCTAGTTTAAAACATCAGTCGTATCATATTGTATCGCCTTTCTCGGAACGCACAAAAATGACGAGAGTGTATGAAACAAAGAAGAAACACGAGTTGAATTATTCGAAAAAGAAAACACGTCTTCACAGGTCTCAGCATTGTTTTCCACGTAGAGGGAAATACCTGTCCCTATCGAGATGAAACCTGGCTTGCGACAGTGCGAAAGTTTCGACACTTGCCAGCATTGCAACGTCAGAATGAATAATATCACTTTCCTACGCAGTTTGCGTCTGTACATACGACGATGAGGAGGAAAATGCAAAGAAAAATCCGTGGTCCACATAAACAGTCGTTCATGGATGCTCTGAACAACTCATTATTATTATTACATTTTTAGATTTAACTTACTGAATTATAATTCATTTATTTATTTTTTTGGAGGAGCGGGTCTTTTAATATGCAAGATACTTATTCGGGAGAAAAACATTCAATTCAAGATTTGAGGACTCCGTTAATTGAGACAGATTTTAAATCAACTTTGCATAAGAAGTGATTCTTTCCAATCGAATTCAAAAGTCGTAGAATGGAAAATAATAACAAATTTTGGAGAAAATAAATTATGCTTCCCCGAATGCGTCCGATAATTGATATCTCAGGTTGCGATAGTTTACACATTTTCATTTTTAAACTTAATTTCGTGGGATGCACTCAATTTTTCTTACTTATGGAATTTTTAATTTCAAGTTGGATATGTTTTGCAATATTTTTTTTTTCTTTGGAGAAACGGCGGAGTTTTCGTGAATTAGAAGTAGAGGCACTTTTTAGACTCCGACTCTTCTTCGAATATTCAACAATTAGTTTTCCTCTATCTGAACAGAACCATGGAATTATTTATGAAATTCTTAATCCGCATTTTGGAGTGGAAATAATCAGACAGACAGGAATATACAGAAGGAAGAGGTATTAAAATATTGTGAATCTTCTCATCTCTTATTATTTCCTGGAAACAGCCTTTGCGTTACGTCACGCAAAGACGCAGTATCTGACTTCTCTGGTGATGTCCCCGTCTTTTCTGTTATTCATTTTTATTTATTTTTTCTTCTGTTTCCTTTCAACATCCTTGTCCTTAGAGAGGAAGATATTTACTAAAGAGTCACATAGACCTAGGCAAACTGCACTGCGTTAGCTCAACGTAAAGTTCACGTCCCAATTATAGACGAAGTGCCAGGTGCAAAAGCGCCTTTTAGAAAAGCCCCACTGAAACTTGCAATCGGAGACTTTCAATATCAGACAACAAAAATGTTTCACATAGGAAAGGAAGTATTTCATTGAATAAAGGATGCTATCATTATTAGAAATAAACTTTCAAGCCGTGAACTCATCCAACGATCTCACGCAGGCACTGATGGGCTCGAAGTTTTCTTTAGTTTAGTAAAAAAAAAATCTCGTAAACCTATATAGCTTTGTGATTGAGAAATAAAATTTCCCCACAGTAATTTTGGCACCAGCAACAAACGCTTCAATTTCAGCCCAGGAATCATTTGATACAGTATTTTAAAAATATATCAACTACTTTCGTCAATTGAACGCGCTGAGGAAAAATAATGATCAAGTATAATTGGCAAAAAACCTTTGCCTATGTAGTCATGCTTACTGTTTTCAATTTAAAATTACGTATTCATGCTGCTTGCCTGGGAAAGAGCCATAGCATTTAAAAGAAGCGATTATACACGAATAAGCTCTTTTATAAAATTTCAAGTACCACCTTGAGCTATGATGTAATGTTGTAAAATTATGAAGTATAGTTAATACTGATACAGTACAAAAAAAATAGTAGAAGAGAAATATCCCAAGGATGCCTTGCCAAAAGAAGGAAGCAGAAAGGGCCAGATGATCAATTACGAACATTTGCTTATAGAGGTTCTGAATCACAAGGTTTCACTTCCGGCAAGGTCACACTTGAAATTATTTTTTGCCTGCTGAAAAAACTGCGTGCTTAAAATTTAAAAATACTGTACTGGCGAGATTATTGCTCGAGGTATTGATATGTTTTATGGTGTTACAAAATACTTTTATATGCAAAGATCATGTTTATAACGGTTATTTCTGTATAAAGATTTTTTTCTATACATTATAGCAGTGTACCCGCAACCTGTTTGCAGTTCACAGAAGTTTTTTTTTGCTGGTCAAAGGGAAATTATCTTCACCAAAATTAATTTATCAGAAGTAGCAATGAAGTCTGTTATCTTTATCTGAAATTTTGAAGAGACAAGGGCAGTTGAAATTATCGGATGAAAAATCAGAGTTTGCTTTATTCCTGCATGATATTATTTCAGACAAATTTTGACCTGCTCAAATAAATCAATTGAATTTTTCATTCTGAGAAACCCTTCTTCAAGCCATCCTTTCTCATTTTCTTAAAGACATTCCTCAATAGCTGCTTTCACTGCTTCTCAACTTTTTTTTTGAAATCCAGAAAACCTTTAAATACCTGTCATAATAAAGTTTTTCAAGTAAAACCTTTTTGAGTCTATGCAATTTTTAAAAAATTTAGCCAGTTGATCCTCAGACAAAGTTTTGGAAATTTGCCTTTCCACCACTGAACATTTCACGTCTGTGGGCCCCAAATGGTTGGGTAATATTGTTCTACAGGTTTCTCTCTCCACCATGCTACTGTAAATGGGTTCTCTACAAAACGAAATTCTTCGTTCACCAATTTCTTTTTTGTCTTTTCAGTTTCGTTGTATAGAGATAGTCCAGCTGTTATGGCTTGAGGTGAAAAAAAAATGTTTTTTCTCGATCAAAGAAGGGTTAGGTCAAACGTTTGGCCCGGAAGTGCAGCCGCAGCTTCGTCGCCTGCGAGTCGTGTTGAGCGCGACCCAAGGTTGCCCTCATGATCGAAAGAGGAGAGATGCTTGTATATTTCTTGTGGTCACTGACCTTGTCCACGACCAGGTCGGGGCTTTCCCCACACAATCCTATATATACTATACACAACCTTATCACCTGACATGAGCTGAAACCACACCAGCCTTCGAGCATCTCATCCTCATCGTTCGATGCACACGACGGAATTTCCCGCATTATAATTTCGGTTTAAAAAAAAAACAAATTTGATATTCACCGTAAAACGATCTGGAGATTCCATCAACGATTCGTCTTGTTTCCCATCCTATGAATACAAGTTCAGCAACCCGAATGAATCCACTGCCCGGAAGTCAGTTAGAACAATATACAGTACTAATCGATTTAAAAAAATCGGATCAAGAATCTTATTCATTGGAATAGCGAAGGCGCTAGTTCGTGTGATTTTTAATGTTCTAGATTCTTATTTGATGATATATACGTTCGTATATTAATAAAAAGTCTACTAGAAGTGCTCATCCCTTAAGTTAAAAAAACGGTGTATGTTACACGATGCCTCCAGAACCTTTTTTCGTGATAAGGGAATTATGGAATTTTTGAAATTCTGATACTCGTGATGCCTCACTGTTCTTTTTCAGCAACTGAATAAATTTGAAATGTCTAATGAATCAGAAACGGAAAACATTTCTGTATTGTTCAGAGTAAAATTCCAAGGATTACAAGATGGTTATTATATCGATTAAGTCGAATACCTTATCGTTTAGTTTCGAGTTTGAAAAGACCTCTACGTATAAAAAAAATTTCATCGCTAACTATAAACTTGGGACATATATAACGTGGGACATGTAACGATCCTCTCATTTTAACGTAAACAATCGATTTTCTAGGAAAATTTTCCCTCAGTGATGGGAAGGGTTGAAAAAGTTGATTTCAAGTTTGAAATCTATCGCGTCATATCCGGGATAAAAGTAAATGCGGACAATTTGCATCTTCTCCAACGGGAGTTCAAAGCCCAAGGTTTTATTATCGTCACCTGCGATTTATTTCCGCATAAATAATGACTCCTCAAAAGTTCGAACGTTGTAATGCAATTATGTTCCTTGACCGATTCAATACTTCAATATGAGCTGCTGAAATATAATAGTGTAGGTCTGTCATGGGATATATTTGGTTTGCGGAGTCAAAATAAAGTTACAAATCATGTCTCTTATGCAAAAAGTATCTATGTAACGTAACTTACAAGTTAATATTTTATCAATTCGTCCTCATTGTGTGCATCACGTCAGAAATTGCAGCTAATGTTTGAATTTCGGGGAAATGAAATAAAAAATAAATAAAAAACATAATTTAGTCGTGTCGTGCGCATTTTTGTCAATATAACAAGAAAACTTGTCCTAGATATGACCTGACCTCAGCCTGATGGAAATTTCTCTTCCGGTAACCTTGCCCGTTACGTCGGCTGTCCAATGCACTGCGGTTTATGCTAGCTGCATATTGCGGGCAACAGAACGGAACAAACGGATTACAACCAGTGGAACGGGTATCAAACGGAGTCCTGCATCATCCTAATTATCTGAACCCGTGTTTTTTTCCAACCCGTGGTCCGCGGACCAGCGACGGTCCGCAGAAGGTGTTTGCCAGTCCGCGGGAAAATTTCTTTGGCATGATAAATTTATAGAATTTATAGCAATGAAGCATGTTGTCCCTAATTATGCGAAATTTCGGAAAAATTGGTAGTTGAAATTGTCTGAGAAGAAATATTAGTTAGAAATAATCGTAGTTGATAATAGCTAATAAGCCCAATATTTCCACGATTTGGAAATATTGGGTGCGTATGTCACATTCAAAATAACCCTTGCACGAATTAGAAAGAAAGAAATATTATAAAAATGTATGAAATATAAACGGAAATCAAGGCAAAAGATAGAAAAAAAACTCTCATTTAAAACCTTCAGAGGCAGTAAGAATTACACTCCTGTATATTGTTCTTGCTTCGAAATACTGTATATCTAAGCGTACAGCATCGGAGTAACAAGAATTTATTTGCGTGATTCGGTTTTTCCACGTCATTTTGGTCATTATCTATCAGTGAATTTTCTTTTTTTTTCTGAAAATTTCTACCAATATTTTCAAGTTTATTTCTTTTTGTTTTCGCAAGTGCAAAATTGATCTCGACCGATTCAATTTTTCACATCGGAACTTCCTTCATGTTGTCATTTTCTCATGGTGCTGAACAGATCGTCACTGAAGAGCGAATAACTCACATTCACATCTGATTGATGTTCATCGTACTTTGAAAAATAAAATAAAGAGAAAACCACGTATAATGAAAATGTAGACATTTCATTTTTTCTAGTGGTCAACCCATTTTAAATCTAGACGAAACTGTCGCGTCATGAACACATCGAAAAGTATGAAATGAAATCCTTTTGCGATTAAGCGCATTTATTCAGCTTCGAGCCAACTGCAAACAATTATTTTGGTTCCTCAGTTTTGAAATACCTCCTCAACTATGAGGTACCAGCTGATGGACAAACAGGAGGATAATTAAAATTACAAACAACATTTGAATGATTCTCAGAATTTTTTTGGTTGCAAAAACGCCAAAGGTTTTATGCGAAGATAATGGTTTTGACCTTGTTTGTTGAAGCATCGCTTTTTCTGTGACAGACTCTATTAAAACGCTTATTTTCTGCGCAATTATTCGCAAGACCTTCATTCTAGGACATTTATTTTTTAATCAGTGGGAGGTGAGGAAGTCTGGAGGCTCAGCCTAATTCGAGTAGGTCATTTCGAAAAATTTTCATTTTAAATTCATGGTATACCCTCTAAAATGGGATTTTTGTTAATATACTGTAATAAAAAGCTTGGACTTTATTTTTTTAAATCAGACAATATAACCGCACTTTTCCTTCATTTATTCATCTCGCGTAGAATTTGGCATCGAAGAAAGGAGAATCTACGAATGTTTCGTTTCGCGATAGTGCAAAAAATTTGGGAAATTTTAAAAAATTCGTTCGATTAGCTCAGCGAAATTCAAGGAAAACTGCTGTAAGTTGGAGTTTCTTCTAAGCTACACCTTCATTACCATAATTCAGCATTTGTCTTCTTTTTCCCTCTGCATTAATAGTTATTATTGTAAAAATCCATCAAACGGCATCCGAATCGATTACAAATTAACATCTTTCGCGGAAAATTTGCTTGGCTATTATAGCCCCCCCCCCCCCTCAGGAATTCCAGAT